TACTTTCGATCAATGAACATACTGCCAATACTAAATACTTGTTGATTTGTATTAAAAATATACATACATGTGTAAATATATAAAAAAAATGTACATTTCATCACTATCTGCATATCAACGCTTCGTCAGTGTGAACAAATGTCAATGAGTCATCGCTTATATAAATAAAATGTGAAGAATTTTAAGGCACTCGTAGTATTTATAGCATAAAAAGTGTGTTCGCCGATGAATGAAGTGGCATTGATTACTTAAATATTCTGATTTTTTGCCGGATTTCATTTTTAATTTTTTTTTTTTGTAGATAATGGAAATTAAAAAATGGAATATGCAATAACAAAATAAATGTATAGCTATTTTTTTGGCCCAGTAATAATGTACGTATATTTATTAACCTTTTTTCGTTTAAATTCCAGTTTCCAGTCCTTGCTCTGTATAAAATTTCAGAAAGTTATTATTTTCTTCCTTTCTTTTTATTAAAAAAAAAAAAAACTAGAAAAAATATATTTTTTATTACTCCCTAATATGTCTCCATTTTATGGTACTAATGCCTACGGTGTGGTCAAGTGAGAGAAAAGTTTTGCAAAGCTAAGTATTTTACTTTTATGTTGTTTTCGAATAAATTTCTCATTCAAAAATATCCTCAATTCTGAACAAAAAAATTTTAGTTTCGCCTAAAATCAATTCACTTCAAATTCGCGAATACAACTATGTAAATTGCTTATTGTGAATGAGTTATTAGTTCAAAGAAGAACAAGCAAACGTCTCCTAAATTATATCCGACAAGAAAAGAAGTGGTATACATAATTTTTAAACTAAATAAATAACAAAAATTCACAAAAAGCTCTATTAGGTGCAGTGGAAGGTACAGAACGGACAACCACTGATCGTAAAACATATGGCCACCAAGAATAGTGAAGTTTCGTGGGTCTGAGAAAAATAAATATGCACAGAATATTTGTAAACCAACTAGAGGCATTGAAATTGAAAGCGATGGTAGAAAAACAGTCAGAATTCAGTGCCGAAATTGCCAAGTTTTAGCATCGTGGAGACGTACTATAAGCCGATGGAAATTTGCCATTATAAAGAGCCTAAGTGAGCAAAGGATGCAGTATCACTATTCTTCATCGACAATGCACCATAAAACCAAACGCATATTCCTTCGATCGTCACTTTTCACCATAGAGGATGTAAAACATAACTGTCTTTTCGGTTCCATTTAACAGTTTACAAAATCATCTGCCCCTTAGATATATGGACGTGTAGGGATATGCACCGCGACCATTGGTAAATTCTACGTTTCGATTCATTCACATTATTTCAAAAGTGGAATATCAATTTCAATTTCAAAAGTGGAATATAAATATTCAGGTGCTAGTGACAAGTAGATTTAGAATGTTCTCACTTATGGGCTCAACCAAAAAACAAACCTTCAATTCTCTTACACTGAAGTCTACTTTCGACTACAATGCAATCTTTGCAAGATTATATATTTGATTTACTGCAGTCTGGTGATTCAAAAAGGAAACTGCTCAGAAAATGTTTCACCAGAAAATATCTTTATACATTATAAATAGTCATTCGTCGCGTCAATGGGCACAAGTCACGTTAAAAATGAAACTGTGAATGGTTCACAATATTTAATCTCTATTTGTCACGATTTTTTAAAAGCGTGCTTCGTAAGAGTCTTATCCAATAAGTGTTTGAAAAAAACTAAAATCATTTGTTTTTTTCATGCATTTAAGCTATTTTTAAGCATATTTATATAAATTAATAATGTACATGCATGTAATGCTTAAGTATGCTTAAGTGGCATGACTTAACATCATATCTCATCAAATCATTGTTATTCACACGTCAATAAAATTGACACCTTCATATACAGACATACATACATATGTATAAAATATTCAATTAATATTGACTATATTGCAAATTAAATGCGTATTAAGCGCTCTAATGTATGTGATTAACAATTGACTTGATTATAATGAATGATTGCAATGCCATAATTGAGTGGGTCGCAACGAACGCAGCCATTTATAGGCAGCTTAGCGTAGCTGAACGCTCGAGCTCACTGAGCATGCGAATGAAAGTGTGTGTGCGTGTATATATGGGTGTGTGTGTTATGATTATGTGGGTGTGTTGTCAGGCGGTATAGTCGTGAAACCACGCCAAGTGGCGGGCCTGTCGCTGCCTTGTACGTGCTTACATACAATTTCATGTACACCCACACACACACACACGCGATGCGGAATGATGCAGCAAATGTCAAAATGCTTTGTAAACGAAATATTGCCATGTTAAGTCAATTAAAAGTGATTTGAATGCGTTGTGAAGATGTTTCGCGATAATTATTATGCTAAGAATGGCAATGTTGCAGATCATTGCCTACAGGTCGAGATTGAGTTGTTGTGCAAGACGCAAAAATGAAAAGAAATTGTTGGTAAGAAAAAAGGAAATGTTTTCTGAAAAGTAGTATTAATAAATATGGTAGATATGGAGATATGAAAAAACCTTTTATTTCAATAATAATTGGATAAAAGGGAGAAAACAAAGTAGTCGAAAAACCCAATTGATTTATCTAATATGTGTGTGCTTCAAAGGGAAAGCCCCAAACTGCAATATATACCGAGTCATACCTGGCTGCTTCTACTGCTTTTTACTGGCGTAAGCACCGAATACGCGACTATAGCCGAGTTCACAACAGCGCGCAGCTCACTTCTTCTTTTAGCTGTTTGGGGCCAATTGGAAACAGCGCCACCTGCGTTTTCCACTGGCTGGTACAGCATCAAATCTAGAGTATACTTATCCGGATCCGGATATCATGACCTAGCCAGCTTATTCGTTGTCTCTTGATTCGCTGTACTAATTCAATGTCAACGCATATCTCGTGCAGTTCATCGTTACAGCAGCTGCGGTAATCGTTATTCCCAACGTGGATGCTGTTATAAGTCTTACGAAAAAACTTTCACTCGAAAACTCCCAGCGCTGACTAATGAGGTATAGTCATCGTCCATGCCCCTGTAACATATAGCAGCATGGGAAACATCTGTCATCGCTTAAAAAAGCGGGTACCATAAATTCGGTATACTCTGGACATCTGTAGATAGATCAAATCTCTGGATCCGGTGTTGAAAGCTTCTGTAAGTACTACCACTGACAGTCAACTTTCCAAGTTTATCATATCCACCCATTTCGGCTTCTTTCTTTTCTTGTCTTTATATCCGTCTTGCTTACTTCTTCAATTCTAAGTATCTATACCTCCCCGCCCAGGTAGTGGTCGATCGTAACGTAGCGTGGTAGACAGCCTCTTTTTCTCCTTGTCGTGCAAGCTGTCTTTTTGGTCTTTGCGAAAACTTATAGTTTGTTTTTATCTATAGAAATTTGTCAGCTTGACTAATGTCTTCCATTAGACATTGATACCTTCCACAAGATGCCTGGCTTGCAATAATTAGACAGCTTTCTCAGGCGGGCTGAAAGGGTACTGGATGCAATGACAATCAACAAATCAGAACTCACATCTTTGGAAGTCTAAAAATAACCTCAAGTTTTACTATGCTTGGGATGGTCCAGTGCTAGTTGCTAGATTTGCGCAGTGCACAGACGCACTGATACATTTAAGCTATCATTTGTCGGACCTATTTTTTCATATTTCAGACTTTGGATGTCAAATAATTCCAAAAAAGCATTTAAGGGCATGTCATTTCTACACACTTCTGTTGAACTAAATATTAATGCTGAAGATCAACAAAATCGGTGGAATATATCATATAGCGACCGTTCAACCAATTTGTTCAGATATAAGGTTTTGGGTGAAAATGCGCCAAAAGAGCACCTGAGAGCACCAAACATAAATATTGACCGTGAAATGCATCGAAATCGAATTTACATTTTGCATAGGTATAAAGACTTCTCTGCACTGTCGAAGATAGCGGTTTTCTTCTTTTTTTTTGTTGCTTTTGGGCCAAAAAATAAAATCGAAACTCATTGCTCTCTGTTGATTATAATTGGAATCATCCGTTTTTATTGTCGCTCTAGAGCGTATCTGAAGGCGAGATGAAGTTGCCCGGGTCCACTAATAAAAAATAAATATTTTAATAATTGTAATGTCTAAAAATTCAAACAAGAAATGTAGTAGCTACTATTATCTGTTAGTTAATGAATATTAATTTGGTGGGAAAAACTGTATTTTCTATATAATTAAGTAAAAAAAAAACGGTAAATCAATCAGCTCAAATTAAATTGCCTAAACAAAACAAACTGAAAAAATTGTATATTTTTTGTTAACTAAACAGTGCTCAAGCACAATACAAATCGTACACACATATATAATAATATACATTTACAAAGTATATTCATTTACATTTACATCTATACGTGTAGCTATTTTTTATACTCAACTGATTTACATTTGCTTATCGTTAACGAAAGCAGATGTCGCTTCGTCAGAATAAATAAACTACATTTCTTTTTCGCTTGTTTTAAATTTTTTTTCAATATTTTTTCGCTTCCACAATTTTTTTTGGTTTTTTGTTTTTTGTTTTTTTATCGCCTGGAATTTTGTTTACCAAGCTCATCATCAATTGCACGTCACAAGTTGTGCTGATTTTGTTTTTTTATTTTCTTGAATTTTTGATTTCTTTTTTTGTAATTTTTTATTGTATTTATTTTGCATATATTTTTTATTTTACATTTTTGTTTCATTTTTTCTACTTCTTTTCAATCTCACTTGCCTACTCTGCCCTACGCGATTACTCGCTCAATCCTCCACAACGTGATCGCTCGCTTGCGTGCAAAAAAAAACAACATTCTGGCATGCTCTGCTCTGCCGGTGCGCGAGATAAGTAAGCGAATTACAAAAAAAAAATATAAATAAAAAATTAACAACAAAAAACACTAACAACCAGCAGTAAGCAACCAAACAGAGAGGCCGTTCGAGTGGCGACATTTGATTTAAATATGAGCGCCGGCGGTATGCGAAATTCAGTTGAAAACTCGATCTCAACGTGAACGGATCAACAAGTTAAAGAACTAAAGAAAGAAAAAATATTCCAAAAGTTAAAGAGCAATTCGGAGAAGCAAAAATATTTTTACATAAATAGCAAAGAAATAATTGTGTGTTTCAAAAACCAATTTTTGGCTAAAAACATTTATTGAAATTTTATATTTCTTTGAAAAAGAAAAGAACTATTTTTCATTTGTGAAAACAAAATTTTGTTTTTTGTTCAATCAACAAATTCTACAAATTTATCAACAAAAATGTGCTCATTGAAAGTGTGTTTAATCGTCGTAGCTGCGTTTATTGCCATCGGCTGTATAAGCAATACGAATGCTGCGGTATTCTCACAACCTGCTGCCTTCCATCCTGGTGAGTAAAATGAAAAATTGTAAAATAGAAAATAATTAAGGAAATAAATCAGAAAAATTAAAGTAAACAAATTTAAAAATTATCAAAAAAAAATGAGAATTTAAAAAATTAAAAAAAAAAAACTTAAAAAGTTATATGCGGTAGAAAAATATGTGCGTGTAGGTATTAATGTAGAGCTGTGTGATTCGGTTATTTGTTAAAAAAAAACGGCCTCTAGATTACAGTTTTTTGTTTGAAAATATATAAATATATGTATTTTTTTTAAGTAAAGCATAATTTAATAAAAAGAAAATAAAATAAAATAAACGAAGTCAAGCTTTATTTAATAAAAAGAAAATTAATTAAGATTAAATTGAAACGAATTTCTTAATAATTGAACAAAGTAAAATCTATTTTTGCTATCAAAGCCAAAAAAATAAATAAATATTATACAGCCTACAGCTTACCATTTTTATTTAAAAAATAGATAAAATAAATTAAAATTATGGTAAAAGAATTTGAATATTATTATATTTGAATATAAAAGGAATAAAAAAAATTAAAAGAAAAAAAATATTTGTCATAAAAGCACTAATATCGGAGCAAGTTCGTTGCTTAAGTCTTCAGTTGAAATGGCATTCCAAAGCGGCTTGGCCAATTAAGCAAGAAAAAATAAGTGTTATGACAAAGAAAGGTAAAAATAACTAAAAATATTTGTAACAAATATATTTACAAGTTCGTTGCTTTAGTCTTTAGTTCAAATAGCATTTCAAAGCGGCGTAGCCAATTAAAAATATTTTATTAAAATGTTTAGGAGCAGAAAGAAAAAATTAATAGTATTATACAAAAAAATTTTTATTTTATTTTTAATATACACAATAACACACAAATAGATACATTGTGGACAAACAATCAATAGAAAACTTTTATTTACTATAAATTTAGTATTTTAGTAAAGAAAAAGTTAGCAATAATTTTTTTTAATTTTTTTTATTTTTCAAATTTTAAATTTTGCACTGAATTAAATTTTTTATTTAATTTTTTTTTACTATTTGCTACTAATTTTCCCACACTTTTAGGCAGTCACTTACCTTGACACATTTAAAACTGTTAAAGTGAACGAATCTCTTACACAATAACAACACAACTTATATAAATTATATGATAAACTCAAAGCGTGCAAATATATTTCCTTAGCCGGCAAAAAACAAGATCTGCGCATATCCTTGACTTTCATTTGTAGCAATAATTTTTTGAATAATTTTACTCACTTGCAATTTTGCTTTGTGCGTTTTTCTATCTATTGAAGCATTTTTACCGGTTTCTTACTGCTGACTAAGCACTCATAAAAAATGCCAAAAAATAATAATAAAAGGAATTAAAAAAAAATTATAACAAATAAAATTCATAAAATACAAAAAATACAAAAAAGAAAAATTAAAACATAAAAACAACGTGCTTTCCGAAAATAAATAATCAACATGACAATGCGCAAAATATTCTACAATAAATAGCAAATGCAGCTGGCTAATTAGCATTTGACAAACCCAAACAGCACGACCCCATTTCAAATGGAACGGAACTGAAAATAAAAAATTCCCGGCTTCAATGGTGCACTGATTCATATTTTTTATATATATATGCATACATACATACAACCATATATAAGACAACCGTCTCTTGGTAAAACCAAAAAACAAAAATTTGCATTTTACGTCAGCAAATGACAAAACAACAACAACAACAACAAAATAAACCAGCATTTTCAATTTCAATTATTTGTTTTTGCCAAAAAATTTGCCTGTAACTGTATTGGTGCAATAGCTGGTAGCCTGGCAAGCTGACGTCAAAGCATATAAGCGATACAAATGATAAGCGCATAAACAAGAACCGGTAAAACAGCACCGAAAAGGCAAAAGGAGCGAGAAAAAAAAAGAATTAACGCAGAATTCCACAGTGCCGAAATACAAGTAGAATGTGGTTACATAAATACATATGAGCGAAAAAACGAACTATTTTTCTTTTAGTTTTATTAGCTAATTTTCTAATAATCGTTAAGTTTATTTATTCATTAGGATTTATAGCTTCTTCTTCTCTAATTTGTTTTTTTGTTGTCTAAGTCGCAACAACAGCGAAAAATGACTGTTTAACATAAAACAACAAGAAATATGTAACGCGCTAAGTATTTTTTTTGTTTGTTTTGTTTCGTTAATTAATTATATTTGTTTTTATATTTTTTTTTTTACTAATTTATTTATGTTGCCTTTCGGCTAAAAGCAACTAGTTTATGGCATTCCATCGGTAGCCACAGTAAACTAAATAATTAAATAAATATTTTTATGGCGACAGTGAGACGCCTGGAAGCTGAAGGTCGTTTGGCAAAGCCTGGTTTGGAATTATTGTTGTTGTTGCTGTTTTTTAATGAAGCAGCATATATTTTTTTCGGTGTTTTTTTTTTCGTTGGAGTGTCAATTTTGCGGGATAGATTTTTGAGAACTTAATTTGAATATAAAAATTTGAGGATTGTAGTAGAATTAATTGAAAACTTAAATTGCAAAAAAAAATTTATTTAATATAATTTTTTTTTGTTTTTACAGTTTTTATATTTTTATTTTCTTTGTGATTTCATTTTACTTTTTTTATAATTTATTAAATTTTAGTTTTTTTTTTTAATTTATAATTTTATTTTAATTTGTTAATTTCTTTTCATTTGCTCCCATTTAAATGTAAAAATTTAAAGTTTTTAAAAATAGCACTGAGCTCACACGCCCAATATCGCCGTCTATTATAGCTGGAGCGAGTCACGTTTTTGCGCTTCAAATTTGTTAGTAAAAATATTTTGACATTTTCGTTTAATGTTTTCCTTTTTTGTTGAATTTGAAATTGTTTATTTGAATGAGTAATCAGTACATTTGAGTCACATAATATTTATTTGCGCACTTTTCGATACAAAAATTTCTATTTTGGTAAAAACAATAGCAAAACTTAACAGACCAATTTGGGATTTGATGAATTAAATTTTGGTAGTGTTGTTTGATGGATAGTGAGGTTAGAAATCGAAAAATATATTAGATTTAAATTTAAAAAAAATTGGTAAAATAAAAAAAATTAAATAAATTACATAAGTAATTTTATATGAAACTTTTAAAAACGTTGATAATACATATAAAATAATTTTTATTTGAAATTAGTAGAATTAAAATTTTCTATTAATTTCAAGATTAAAAAAAAATCTTATAAAATAATGTTTTAATTAAAATATTTTTTTTTCAAATCTGCCATAATTTTTTTAACTTTTAACTTTAAAACTACATTCCAACTGAATTTCTTATACGCCTGTGCATTTTTCATGCCTTTTCAAAGCAAGTTTCTGTGATTTATGAAGAGCAAGTTTATGCCTTAAGTCTTTTGTGTACTGTCCACTATTTATTTAGCGTGAAATTAAAGTTATAAAAATCCGTTAGTTTTATTACATACTTAATTATATTTAATGTTTTATATGAAGAAAAAAACAAATTAAGTAGATTTTAGTAAACAAATACAGGTTGCTGACCTAATAAATTTTGAATTTAAAATTTTTTTAAATAAAACCAAAGTGCCAAAAGCTCCCAAACAACTTTAAAACACACCTAAGTATATAATTTAATTAACTACAATTTTCAGCTACTCTGATTACTATGATAGCGGTGCTAATAGCTTTTAGACATGATATTTTCAACTTACGCAAATTCTCCACAATTACGGCAATTAATGTAGATTTAATTAAAAAATTTTACACCAACAAGTTTTGCATATTAAGGTGAAAAACAATCATTTTAAATAATATATATTCTTACCTATGTATATATAAAATATATGTATACCTTTAAATTGCTTGCCGGGAACAAGTTTGTTGCTTAAGTCTTCTGTTTATCGCACTATAAATGCACAAAGGAAGCACACTTCCTGCTCAGACGCCTTTATGCTGCCTATCGGATACACCAACACATGTATGTGTATCAATTTAAATATGTAAATATGTTTGTAAATATGTATGCAGTAATATTTCAACTGCAGCCAATGCCATATAGCTCATCGCCGCCGCCGCCGCTGGCTTGGCATGCAAAACTCGCACGTAAAAATATAAACAAAAATAAAAAACCATACAAGTATTACAAGTAGTTTATTGTTGTCGTTGTTGTTGTTGCTTTTGTCGCTTTTCATATTATAATTACTTCCTCGATGCAATGCGAGGTGAGCTTAACAACTTGACAGCAACAACAAGTAGCAAAAAAACAAAAATACAGAAAATGAATCAAAAGAAACAACAACAACAACAACAACAACAACAACAACAACAACAACAACAAAACCAACAACAACCACAGGGCGAATATAATAAATTACAACGCAATCAATACTTACGCACACACACACATATATATATATTTTACTTATATTCTCTATATGCATATTTATTGCTTGAGTAATAAAACAATTTATTAACTTCCGCTTTCTTCTTCTTCTTCTTCTTCTTCTTGTTCATCTCATTTTAGCACACCGCGGCAAGTGTTTCGATAAGATCACCCGTCGTGCCATGCTGCCCAACAAGGAGTACAAACCGAAAGGCATCTGCGCTGTTATGACCTGCGACATCCATCGTCAAACAATTAACATTGAAACTTGTCCTTATGTGGAGATGCCCGGCTGTGAGGAGTTAACCAGCGATCCCAATTGGTCGTTCCCCAAGTGCTGTCCACAATTCAAGTGCACCGACTTCAAGACCGGCAAGGAATTCATTGTGTCGGCGTAAACTAAGAAAAACTAAGAAGAAAAATAAAAACAAATACTCAAAGTGCCACATGCCATGCGCGGCAGGGAAGGAAGTCGTATGAAGGTTGGATGGCTGCGGTGATTTGGCTGTAAGGCAGCCAGGAAGGAAGCCGTGTTGTGTACGTGTGGTACGCCAAAAACGTGATTTTATGCTTTTACTTACCAATACTACCTATAACTACAATTAAAAACTACAAGTACTATTTTTAAAAATGTGTGCAACGTCTGCGTGCTGTTTTTGTGTGTGTGTGTGTGTGTGTAAATTATTACTATCTTTTCTTTTAATTTTTTTCCTTTAATTTGCACTTTTGCTATAAGAATACTTATTTTTTGCTCATTAAAAAATGTCATTAGTATGTAAGATTATTTATTGAAAAAAAAAACAACAAACAAAATCAACAAAAAAAAACAAATTCCAATTGTAAATATTCGTAATTTCGCCTAACTAATATCGTTTAAATTTTTTTTAATTAAATTTTTAATTTTAGTTTTTTTTTCAAAATTTTCTTGTTTTAATGTTATTTTTTGTTAAAAATTATTTATACTTTTTTTAAATTCGTATGAATGCCAAATAAAGAATGTATGTTTGCATATAGATTTAAGTTTAATTAGTTTTAAAAAAAATGCTCTTGTAAAATAAATCACTTTTCCCCTCATTTGTGAGCTTGCGTTCTTAGCTTGCTCATTGGATTTTAGCATTAAAATTTGTAATATTAAATATTTGTAGTATTTATTGTTTAAGTTTTGGAAAAAAAATTTTAATTCAAAATTTAAAACAAAGAAAATAAAATTTAAAATAAATATAAAAATTTATAAAAAATTACTATTTCTTTTATTTTAAAAAATTCTATGATTCGCCAATGTAGATTTCATCGTTTAATGTCAAGCAGTTTTGCCTTTAATTGGTTTTAGTTAGTTGCTGCTCAAGTAACCCTGATAAAGCCCACTTAGACCTACTCTCCCGCAGTTATATAGAATCTGCGCAATCGGTTAGTGCCACCGCCACATAGATGCTCTCACCATTTAGTGTATTTTATTAAATTCAAAAGATGTCTAAAGCTAATACGGCAAGGCAATCAAAGCAAAAAATTTCCGTGTAGCCGATGCCAAAACGTATTGAGAGCTGAACAGTAGCAGAGATGGTGCACTACCGTCGCCTTTCCATCTATTGTGGATACGTTACTGCAACAGAATTCAAAAGTGATGTAGTCCATCCTTCTAACGTTAGTCATCATCATGCAGCGCTTGGTTATTATGACGGTTGTGTTGCTCATAGAGGTGCGCTTTAGAGTAAGTAGAGACTTAGTTCTCTTCTTTTTGATCTATGTCCAGAATTAGTTGGCCACATTGTATGGGACTTTCTCCCGCAAGCTACTGTTGTCTCTACTACTGAAGTCTCTGTGCTGTAGGTATTTTGTCAAGGAAAAAGCACATGCATAGCATAGACGTGTGCAGAATTTAATGTAGTTAAAGCAGTTGCTCATCTAGGCTAAATCCCACGGTTTCCTGGCAAATAATTCCTGGGGGCAGCATACTCATAATATTGTATAGCCCAGAGAGTCTTTCTTCGACACTTTCAATATATATAGATAACGAGAGCGTGTGACTGTGGGAGAATGGCTTGTCAACGACCTCGGCGATTGGTTAAGTTGAATCACTTTCAGTGCTGCCTGTGGATTTGAATAATTGAGCTTACTCAACGACTGTGGCTGTTTCATCCATCTCGTTCGAGGAATCTTTGGACCCACTTTGTGGAGATCGCTGGGCCAGTAAGTCTACTAAAAGCTGTGCTTACTGGGTCTGTGACTTTTCATTCTTACGCGCTTGCATTGTGATGAAGTAAAAGTTTGGATTACTCTACCACAATTCGCGCATGTTGGATAGCAAGAAATGAATCGTTGAGTAAAAATCACAAACAATTCCGCTTCTACTTGATCTCATCAACTTCAGACTGCTTTACAGTTATTTGTGAGTAGCTCCTTATTGCCAAACTCGAGAGTTTTCTCTAAATTCGAGACTTCAGCTGATAACCAGTATTAGGCTCCAGATCGGCTTAGGAATTTAATCGCTGTGTACTTCCGTCCAGCTTACAAGTTTTCCACTAGAAAAATAGCCATTCAAAAAGCTCATACCCTTCTCGTCAACCCCTTTTTCGGAATTCGCCTGGTTTTTAAGCCTCAGCGGGAATGAAAACTGGTTTCCAGTTGGCGATATATATTCATCTGATGGCTAATTCCTCCACAGGTTGAGAGTGTTTTGGGTAATTTTTGTTTCATTTTCTGCGCCCGTCTTTTTCAAGCACTGAAAGATTTCTTGGTCTTTTTGAGGCTGATTTCCGAAGCCTCCGTTCGAAGTCATTGAAGCTGCTTTTCTATTCCTCTATTCACTGACTGTGACTCGGTCTGTCATTAGAACCTTAGAACAGCATGAATTTTAATTTGGGTAATTTTTTCTTGATGTGCTCGACATTGTAGAAATATGCATTGGAGTTTTGCTTGTAGCTTAACTCGTGCAGTGTTTGCTTTCAGAGCCACGCTATCCCGTGTTTTTTTTTTCTGTTGTGCTGAGTGAGATTTTTTAGACAGACCTACCAACACCCGGCTAAGCTGCCAGCTTTGCCTTCATGAGAAATTAGCTTTATGCCAGCTGGGTTACTCTCCATGTAAAGGTGCTGCTCTTAGGCCGCTGGTCCCGAATATCGAAAAGGTTTGGTAGGCTGCGAAGGTGGGGGTTTAACCACAAATCACGAGTCTGATAAGCAGATATATATGTTGAATAGCAAAGTTACAGGCATTAATACACTAAGGTTAGGATAGTCGCAGCCTACAAAACTCTAGTCCGTAACTCCATCGATTCCATCATAAATTTAATTAGGAGTCTTAACTACACTAACCTATATTTTCTCAATGGGGATCTCAACCTTTTTTCAAGTCTTACTATTATATTTTTATGAGAGTACATTCCTGGTGACCTCACTAATCCCATTTTGAGCCAATACACGCTAACCTTGTGGCGTTGAGTTAACAGCTAATTTCTTTTGAAAATTGCCTGGCAAACGGCAAAAAATGGTAATTATAGAAACTTTGTGAAATGAAATTATGGCCGCCATCAAATTTTGTTAAAATAAAAAATATTATTTTTTTCTTTTTTAGGGCGAAACTCAATTTTGCCAAGATGCTCAACACTTTAAAAGAAATCCAATTTACTGAAATACTTGAACAAGCATGATTTGCAGAAAGCGCTCATGATTTGTGGTTAGGCCAAAGCCTAGCCACATCAAATGGGTGAAATGTGAATTGCAGATGAATCAGCAGATCTCAAAGCAATCAATGCAAACATCTATTTCAACATTAAGACATAACTGTAATTTAATTATTTATTTGTATATTTTTGCTTAACAATGCCAAAATTTTCTAGGAATTTACTTGATTCACTTTTTTCATAATAAAACCAATCAAACAAATTTATACAGCCCAACGTGATTATTCGAAAATGACTTTCGCAAAAATGCGTAATTTCTTTATTTTCTATCGAAAATCGATGACGATATAACTAATTATTAAATATAAATAATTCATTGACTTTTGGCTATAAAACAACTACGCAGTTGATTGAAACTAGTTCAATTCAATTCAAATCGATTCGAAAGAGTCAAGAAACTCAACGAATGATAAAGAGAAAAACAATAAAAAAGCCCAACGAATAAATATTTAAGTACGGTTACATTTAGTTGATGCGTAACGTGAAATCATTTTCGGTTTTATTTTGAATGAAAATTGTTTTGTTTACAAACAAAATAGCACCTTGTGCCACTTTTTTATAATTCACAAATATTTATTTTTATATATTTTTTTTTTTGTTTTTTTTTTTGCTTTTTTTTTATGCAAATCACATGCGTATTAAAGTATGATCACAATAAACATTTATTATAAGAGAAAAAAGAATGAAAATAAAGGCTTGGATTAAAAAACAAAAACAAATAAGCCCATGCCACGAAAATGTCAAGCCATGTCTAAAAAACACATAAAACTCAGCAAATATCAAGATGTTAGTTTCCTGATTTTCTTTGATTTAATTTTAATTCTCTTTTTCTTATTTTATTTTACTTTATTAATTTTATTTAATCTTTTTACATTAAACTTTATTTTTTATTTGCTTTCATTTGATTTCATTTCATTTTACTTATTCTTTTTTTATTTCAAATTAAACTATCTTATTTTATTTTATTTAACTTCATTTTATTTTATCTTATTTTATTTTATTTTATTTTATTTTATTTTATTTTATTTTATTTTGTTTTATATTATTTTATTTTATTTTATTTTATTTTTTTTAATTTTATTTTACTTTATTCTATTTTATTTCTTCTTATTTGAATTAATTTTATTTCATCTAATTTATTTTTTATTTTATTTTATTTTTTTTATTTTATTTTATTTTATTTGATTTTATTTTATTTTATTATTTATTTTTTTTATTTTATTTCTTCTTATTTGAATTAATTCTATTTCATCTAATTTTTTTTTTTATTTTATTTTATTTTATTTTATTTCATTTCATTTTAATTTATTTTATGTTACTTTAATTTTCTTTTTTAGTTGTATTTTGTTTATTTCATTTCTTTTTTTCTTACTTGGTTCGGACAAAATCCAATTTTATTTTGTTTTCTTTTTTATTATTTTATTTTATTTTATTTGGTATAATTTTATTCTACCAAATTTATGATAAACAATTTTTTTAAACTCTCTATTGGTCGACCTTTCACTTGACAAAAGACCTTCCCATTTTTGGAATCCATATCCTTATAAGAATAAAGAGTAAGCGCGGTCAGCAATAATTTGACAGCTAAGAATAATGGGTTTAAGAACAGCTAAGGTATGTGTGGCAATTAGCATAAGCTGACCATATATATGTTGATAAATAGCGTGTTATAAGACATAGCACACTTTTATAAAAATTAGTTTTTCTATGCTTTATAAGCTTATAATTAAAAATAAATTGGCAGATTTAAGAAGAAAAGAAAGAAATTTCAACAAATGGGCTAGACAAAAATAGATGAGAATAAAAGATTAAAGAAAAAATTATTGAAAAAATCTGAATTGAACTAGAAAAAGTAGTATTTTTAAATGGCGTTTAATTAAATGTCCATTTTTTTTAACTAATTGCCAAAAATTTAAATTCGTTTATTATACTTATATTAGATATAATTCATAAAAAAATTCAAAATTAACGAATATACCAAAGACTTAAGCGACGAACTCGAAATGTATTATTTCACCTACAAACGAAAAAGACGAGCATGAGTAGCATAGAGTAAAATACAATAAAATATTAAATATTTGTATTTTCACAAAAGGATATTCATAAATTATCATTTCTCAGCAACTCATAAATTTTCGCAGAGAAGGTGTTAAGTGTGGCATAATCATTTTGCCACATTTTTAAGCGCACCATAAAATTGATGAAAGGGTTATTCCCCACTTTCTAAACACACGCCATTGATGGGCAATTGATTCAAAAAATT